GTCGTTGACTGTTTGTCGTGTCGTGCGAGAGGCAAGGTGCCCTCGGCTTTTGATCTCGGTTGTTTGGTAAACGGCTTTGAAGGCCGAAAAACATATTGTGTGAGTCGTTCGTCGCCGTTATCACTAGTTGACGAAGAAAAATAAAATAGAAAATAATATTCTAAAATTTAACGGTGAAAATAATTTTATTTCAACTTCAGAAGTGGGATGGTTTCCCGCAATTAAGGCCTTTTGTGGACGAATCCGTCCACCGAAGTGAACTTATATTTATTACATAATTCAAGATTTCGATACGTGTCGTCGTGCGGTGGAAGCAGGTGGGATCGTTGCGACAATTCTAATAAAGTGTTCGGAGTGAGCCATGCCCAGGAGCCGGCACATGGATCGCGCAACGTTGGATGGAGCAACGCTCGAGCAACTGAAAAAAGAAGCTCGTAGTTACGGGCTCCCGGCAACAGGGAATCGTGTAGAAATAATTGATTTGATAATGTCTCACCTGGAACGTCACGGACCGAAGGATATGATCGAAGAGGCGTCGCCGAGAGTAGACGTTGAACAATCTAGAGCGGCGGGAGCCATGAGCTCGTCGGAGCCGCTAACTGCAGAGTTGTTCAGAGAGACAATGCTGCAAATGCAGCAGCAATTGATGCAACAACAACAACAGTTTATGACGCAGGTCATATTACAACTTACGAGACGTGACGGGCTGTTGTCGGAGTCGAGTGGCGGAGCGACGGCTGGAATTGGTAGAGTCGATGAAGCAGGGCCGTCGGGAAAGCAAATGGCCAGCAGAGATCATCACCTGTAACAGAGAACGGAGTGAGAAGTGTGGATAGCTTCACTGATGTGAATGCTACTAAGTGGCTTGCCACGCAAATTCCGGAGTTCGGAGGATCTGACAGTGAGAACGTGCAGGGGTGGATCCGACGGGTCGATCGAGTCGCTCAAATTCATGGTGCGTCGGACAATGTTATATTGATGGCCGCGACAAGCAAATTGACAAAGTTTGCTAAAGAGTGGTACGAGCTGCAGGAAGACTTAGTGATGGAGTCGTGGGCTACCCTCAAGCCGGAGTTAGCAAAGATTTTTGAAAGACGCGTATCTTTCCACAAGGCCATGCAGCAAATTGAAGCCAGGCGATGGAATCCTGCAAAAGAAACGTTCAACCAATATTCTCTAGTGAAGTTAATGTTAATTAAGCAGCTGGACTTACCTGTGAAGGACACCATCCATCTATTAATCGATGGAATTCCCTCGAGTGCCGTGAGAGCCGCTGCTCTCTCCGTGGCTGATTCCTCGCTGGAAGACTTCATTGGCAAAATGCGTAATATAGCGGTGGGATGTGACGTGCCTGAAAAGAAAAGTGTGTTTGTGTCAAGTGCTAATAAACCAGGAACCCTCAACTGTCGAAATTGTGGGAAACCTGGCCACATACACAGTGACTGTCGAGAGGACCTCACCTGCTTTTACTGTAAGAAGAGGGGGCATCGTCAGTTCGATTGTCCGGCCCGGAGTGAACAAAGTGGGAGGCCGTTTTCGCGCTCTCAGCATCCACCCCAGGCAGCAGCAGCGGTTTCAGAGGAGGAGACCGGTGGCGAGGCGGTGGCTCTTATCTCCGAGGAGGATTCTTCCCGGCCGGGGCTTGGTGACCCTGCCGTCCGAGTGGACAGCGTGAGTGGCCGGCGTTGCGACCTTACTGCGATGGTCGACACCGGGAGCCCTGTCTCCTTTGTTAAGTACAGCGTTTATTGTAAATTGATTGAGCCTTGCGGTTGTCCTATGAGTTCTTCGACGAGAAAATTTATAAATTTTAAATGTTTACCGTTAGACGTAGTCGGCATGGTGACGGTTGATCTGACCTTGCGGCTCTTGAAGGACCGAAATTTATCTGTAAATTTATATATTATACGAGACCAGACTTTTGCAAGTGATTTTATTCTTGGACGAGAATTCATTTTTAAAGAGAGACTTACCGTGATTTACAAGCTTCACGAGGCGCGGTCAGACAAACGATTTGATACCGTTGAGTTGTTTGAAAATTTACCGTTGAACGCTGAGGAAATTGTACCGGCGGACCTAGAACGAAGGCAGATAGACTGCGAAATCGATTTTGATAATTTGATAAATAAAAACTGCTTGATGGATACAAAGATAGAACTCGAGACACGGGATTTTGTGTTGATGGAAGACGATGGTGGCGTAAAGGTACGATTGAAAGATGACACGGCGTATGCGGGCGCTCTAAGGCAGGTCGCGCACACTGAAAATTTAGAATTGCAGCAAATTAATGACGATGTTTTGATTCTGTCGGGTACCGAGGAACGGAGTATGGAAACCTTAAAGGCAGGACCTTTACACTCCTTGCTGCGGGGGGGAGTCGTGTTTGTTTCCGACGAGGGGGTTGTCGAGTCGTTTAATTCTTTAAAGGACGAGCTGAATTCTGCTCCTGTGTTAGCCCTGTGTGATCCAACCGCCGAGGCGGAACTCCGCGCGGGCGCGAGTGGCGTGAGGCTCGGTGCCATGTTGCTTCGAAAACAGCAAAGCGGATTGTGGGCCGCTGTTGCGTTTTTTAGTGGAACAACTAATCAAGCCGAGTCAAAGTATCATGGCTTAAAGCCTGGAATGCTTGCTATCGTGCGAGCCGTGGGGAGGTTTCGTTTATATCTGTACGGTTTGGATTTTGCAGTGGTGACGGATATAAAAATTTACAAGTGAATTCGTTACATGAATTTCATAACAAGAAATATATGAGGCCTTACGAGCCATTCGCAAGATGTTTTGAGCGGAAANTGTACGAGTATATACACGCACATGTGACAATTTTCAACTTGTAAATTTTTACAAGTGAGTGTTTTTTGAGTTGAAAACTCAAATCTTAAATTCATATGGGATGCTGGATTTGCATCTCACATATAAGAGACCCCGGATACCTCCCTAACTAATTTTGAAAATTGCGAAAAAAACTCCTTGGCCAGAAGTCGAACCTGGAATCTCCGGCTTTCCGTGCCATACCTGCCTAACAGAGAAGGCAATGTCCCAAAAAATTTATAAGTGAAGCGTGCACAAACTCATATTTTTAACAACATTTTTGTTTATAATTTTGTAAACTGTTTTTGTTGCAGAAATCGTACCTTAAAAGTATCGGCGGCAATTGTGAACATCGCGCTCTAGCTACTATATTACTATTTATTTTACTACTACTATTACTACTGCTACTGCTACTGCTACTGCTACTGCTACTGCTACTGTTACTGCTACTGCTACTGCTACTGCTACTGCTACTGCTACTGCTACTGCTACTGCTACTACTACTACTACTACTACTATTACTATTATATAACTATTATATAACTATTATAATATAACTATAATTATAAAGAGAGTAACAAGTGTTTTATATAAAAAAAAAAAAAAAACAATTTTGTACTTACCGTTTGCTTCAATCACCCTCTTCCTGGAGTTCTTGTTTTAATTGCGTGGTTTCCAAAATGTATTTTACAATGTATTTTACAATGTTTTTGTAAACAATTCTGTGAAACATGGCTAAAAAGGTTTATAAAACATTTCGGTAACAAGCAAGAAACCATACAGTAAAAACTTTAGGAATTTACCAACGGTAGAACAACAATTTTGTTCCTGCAAATAACTTAGAAACGTTTTTCTGCCAACGTTTCGATAACGTATGAAAATCTACGCATTAAAGACTTTGCGAATGCATCAACGATTTCAGTAACGTTTTCTAAACGTTTCTTTGAATCGTTGTACTGAAACGTTGCAATAACGAAAGAAACAGAAATCTTTCGAATTTATTCAGTGGTTTTGGGAACGTTTCGTGCAGGTTTCTTGGAAATGATTTCACGGAAACGTTGTAGAAACGAATGAACAACCATGCTATAAAAATAAGAAACAAAGTTTCTTATGTAGCTGGCAAGGTTTCTACGACGTTTTGTATAAGTTTACAGTGACGTTACTTAAACGTATTTGCAACTTATTGGGCATCGTTTCTTATACGTTTCTACGAAGTCGGATTGAAACTTTGAAAAGCGGACATTTCGACGATTTCGCTACGTTACTACGACATTTTAGAGACTTTTAACGAAACGTTGCTAAGTTTCGGAGAACCCGTTGCGGAAACGTTTGTGCTACAAACGATGCTATGTGAGTTTATTAAATGGAATACAGCACTTACGCAGCCCACCTTTTCATCCTAGCTCAAATGGGCAGGCTGAGCGTTTCGTGGATACTTTCAAGCGAGGACTTGCTAAACTACAAGCTGGGGAAAATAGTAGCAACTTTTCGTCAATGGATTTTCTTTCTGTTTTCCTACAGTGTTATAGGTCCATTCCAAATCCAAATGTTCCTAACAAGTTGTCTCCGGCTGAAGCACTGATGGGTAGACGAATACGGACATCATTGGATTTACTGAAACCTTCTTCTTACCAAGTATCTACAAATGAGAAACAGCTTCAGCAAGAGATGCAATATAATCGAAAACACTGAGCAAGAGATAAAGTTTTCGGTCCGGGTACGCAAGTTTTTGTTCAGGTCCATGCAGCAAATAAATGGTCGTGGATACCTGGGAAAATCATCGAGCGGGTTGGCAAAGTTCTGTATAATGTGCTTGTTCAAACACGAAGTCGACTGGTTCGTGCACACGCCAATCAACTGAAGTTTAGGCACGGTGACAAAGACAAAAAAGAACTTCCCGCGGAAATTCTCATCAATGTCTTCGATCTCACAGACACTATACAACAACAAACATCACAAGGAACTCAGCAAGTAGATACACATCACGAAGCACTTTGCGACGGAGAACAAGAAGCTGATCCAGTTTCAGCTGTTTCTACACAACAGCAAGTGGATTTACTGCCTCAAGTTTCTTTACAACAGCAAGTGGATTCTCAACCACAAA